TCTATGTACATGCCCACCATTCTTTTTTTTCTTTTTTTCTTTTTTGAAAGGCAGAGTGGACAGTGAGAGAGAGAGACAGAGAGAAAGGTCTTCCTTTGCGTTGGTTCACCCTCCAATGGCCGCTGAGGCCAGCGCGCTGCGGCCGGTGCACCGCGGTTATCCAAAGCCAGGAGCCAGGTACTTCTGGTCTGCCATGAGGGTGCAGGGCCCAAGCACTTGAGCCATCCTCCACTGCCTTCTGGGGCCACAGCAGAGAGCTGGACTAAAAGAGGAGCAACCAGGACAGAATCCGGCGCCCTGACCAGGACTAAAACCCGGTGTGCTGGTGCCGCAGGCGGAGGATTAGCCTAGTGAGCCGTGGCGCCGGCCTGCCCACCATTCCTGACCCCCATCCTAGTATCTGTCTGTTCTGTGGAAATCTTATTGGCCCCTTGAAATAATGACGACAAACTCAAAATAATAGAGTTTTATGTCAAGTGAATAATGCACTTTACTGATTGCCCCTCTGAATCTTAGCTACTTTATCATCAAAAACGTTTTTACTTAGAGAACATAAAGTATGTCAACAAAGTTCCACTGCCATATAGAACACAAGTTAATCTATGTTTATTACTTCAAAATCCACAGAGGAGAAAACTTGAGCTACAGTGACTATAAGGGCCAAGAATACTATTTTCATTTTATTTTTAATATTTTCTCCCTAAAACAAGTTTTATTATTAGAGAATTCTTGAAGGGAGAATCAAACTGTAAAAAGGTATGGGAACATGTCATGTGTAAACAGTGGTGATTGGAATCAATTTCTAAAAATAACAAAAAACGGAAAAGCTGCCACTGATAAAACATCACCAAGACTAGAAATATTAAAGATAATAGAAGACACTTCACTGATTTTTCAATACTTCATTTGTCATTGAACAGCTACGGTGTCCTTTGCAACATACTGGGCACAAGAATACAAAGATACTGTGATCTCTGTATCATCAAGGCATTCACAGGCTATCACTGGGAAGAAAAAAGTAAACACTTATCAAACAGTGAGAAAAGAACGCTAAAAAAGTATGGAATAGGCGACAGTCTAATGGAATACAGAATACTAAGATCAGAAAGGAATCACAGAGAACATTAAGAGAGAGAAACCTAACCCATTTATTCAGAGATGAAAAGCATTTTACAAGCTGAACACAGTAAGGAAAGTTATTTTAACACATAGGCAAGAGAGAGAGAAATAGTACATACGTTTATTAAATTAAAGTACTAAACACTGCATTTGTTGGAGCAAAGGTTGCATATGAAACAACAGAAAAAAGATGAAAAAGTAAAATATGTCAGTTCTTAAAGCAGCTTTTCTTATGTGTCATTCTAAATGTCAAAAGAGTAAGCTGGGAATAAAAATGAGCTTGTGTTTTACCAACACAGTCTAGTGACAGGGCAGAAATTAGAAAGGAAGGCAATAGATTATTTCAGTAGTGCAGAAAAAGGATGGCAAAAGCTTGAAACAAGATGAAGATGTCGAGGGAGAAAATTTAATAGCTGAAAATTAGATTTAACAGGACAAAACTTCTGATTACTAGAAAAACAAAGGCAAGAACCTAGAATTTCTACACTGTTTCTTTTCAGAATCTGGATGTAGGACTACCTTTACCACATACCAAACATAGGAGTCACTCAACTTTCATAGGTTCTGTTCTTCACACACAAAAAAAAAAACGGATTAAAGAAGGATGTTCCCTGATGTTTCACTAGCACAAAATATGTGTTACTGTGACTAATCAATATATATGGTCTTAAACAAGTACCTCATACTACTGTTCTATATTCAAATGAAACATACTGATTCTTTTTCTTGTTCTACATGATTAATAAAATGAAAACAAAATTATCTGTGTTAAAAAGATAAATCATAATACATGCATTTGGTGTGGTGGTTAAGGCACTTCTTGGGATGCCCACACCCCTTATCAGTGTCTAGTTTAAGTTCTTGCTTATCTTCTTCCAATTCTGCTCCCTCCTCATGTACACCCTGGGAGGCAGAAGATGATGGCTCAAGTACCTGTGTCCCTGCCACCCACGAGGCAGACCGAGATGGGAGTTCAGGCTCTTGGCTTCAGCCTGACTCGGGGAGTAAACTAGTGGATGGAAGATTCTCTCTCTCTCTCTCATTTGAAATAAAATGAAAATTAATCAGGTGCCAGCACTGTGGCATACTGGGTAAAGCTGCCACCATACCATATGGGTGCTACTTCATGTCCTGGCTCCTCCACTTATGATCCAGCTCCCTGAAAATCGCCTGGGAAAAGCAGTGGAAGATAGTCCATGCACCTGGGATTTGTGCAACCCACAAAGGAGACCTGGAAGAAGCTCCTGGCTCCTGGCTTCAGCCTGGCCCAGCCCCAGCCATTGTGGCCACCTGGGGAGTGAACCAGTGATTGGAAGGTCTCTCTGACTCTTCCTAACTCTGAGTTTCAAATAAATACATCTTTTTTTAAAAAATGAAAATTAATCAAAAAATCACAAAAACAGAGAGATCACAATCATTTTTCCAATGAGACATCTTTTCAAAGCTCCCAGTTTTAATTTCATTTCCATTATCAGCAACATTTTCTTTCAGAAAGGGCAGCTGACTACTATTCTAACTATGAGTTTCACTGAAGCTAACAATTATTCAATTTAAGTGCAGCATTAAAAAGTAGGTATAACACATCATAAGCCTAAATCCAGCACTAAGATTTTACCTGTCTTGGAAATATTATTGAGATATTACAACTCAAAATATCATTAAAATACATCATTAATTGATGATTCCCTAAGTACAAATCAGATATTTCAACAATGGGCAAGACTCCTAGGCTTACATTTAATGAATTATACTTAAAATAATGTTTCTGGTATGCACTGTGGCATAGCAGGTTAAGTTGCCACTTGGGATGCCTACATGGAATATCAGAGAGTTGGTTCAAGTCCCAGCTACTCTGTTTCCAATCCAGCTTTCTGCTAATGCACTGGGGAGGCAGCAGATGATAGCTCACTGGCTTGGGCCTGTGAGAAATGCAGGTGGAGGTCCAGGCTCCTGGCTTCAGCCTGGCCCAGCTGAAGCCTTTCTCTGCATCTTTCTGAAGTATTTGAAGATAAACATACATTTAAAAAATGATATTTTTTTACTTGTTACATAGATATTTGAGAAGTGGTCTAAAGGATTACATTTTTCTTTTTAAAAACATCTTAATTTATATATCATTTATATAAAGAAATAATTTGGTCCCAGTACTAAATAAGTCCAATATTTCATTACTGTGTTAAGTACTCTGAGGCATTTTTATAATGGGATAAAAGAACAGGAAAAATATTCAGAAGTTTTTGTAAAGTACTCAAGTCAGATTAACTCCAATGTTTTACAAGTGATATATTGAAAACAAAAAGGATTAAAATCAAGTCAGTGATCTAGGCCCACTGCAGATTTTGCAATTTTTCCTACTATTTTCCAAAGAACTTCATTGCTTTTATTTTCCTAAAATATAAAGTATGATTTTGTGCTAAACACTATCACAAAGCTCATCAAAGTGTGCCAGGTTTCTCTTAGGCTTAAGCAAAATGAATCTTTTTACTAAAGCTTCTGAACTTCTGAAGATCATCTAATTGCAAAAACATTTATAACACTTATTCTGTACTTTTACAACTTAAAACAGTGATTTTCAATATTATGCTAGATGACCAATGATAGGTAAATGATATATCAAAAACTCAAAATATTTGAAGATAAGTTTAAAGATCTGATGATTATATACAAGGAATCTTCAAGTCTATGAGATAAAACAGAAACACTCATCAAAAGCTTATGTAAGAAAGAAAACTGTGAATCAGCTTTGGCAAGGTACAGGTCTAATTTTCCCCACTACCAAGAACAGATCTGAGAAAACCTTCACTTTATCAAATGTATGTTTATTTAGAATCTAAAATATGCAAAGCACTATTCCAAGCACTGAGGACAGAGTTTTCAAACAAGAAACAGTAAGATCCTATCTTCATGAAACTCACATCCCAGTGGCAATAAACAAGCAAGCAAAATATCAGATAATTAAATATGTTAAGGAGAAAATGTTACGGAGGGTTATAAGCTGAAGAGTGATTGAGTGACAAGTTGAGGTTAGACAGTCAGTGAATGCCTCATTAAATAATTTGTTAGTTGAATTCAGAATGACACAAAAGGATCTACCTTCACTAAGATGAGGACAGAAGAATATTCCCAACAAAGGGAATATGCAAAGATCCCAAAAAACTCACCCAAGTGAGAGAAAAACAAGTGTCTGAAGCAAAGCTGATGAAAGCAAGGATTGATGTGAAGTCAGAGACAAATCCAGATCTCAGAGGGCCAGAATATGAGATGGACTGAATTTGAAAAATATAGAATTACAGCAGGGTTAACTACGGCTTTTTCTTATAAGAGTTTGGAATAATTTGATGAAATTAATGTACAAGCTCAGGTGTTTTATCAGAGTCATTTTGTTTCACTGGTTTTGACCTTGGGAAAGCAAACTGTGCTAAATATACCAATTTACTATTTCAAGTTATAATTTCCTTCAAATATAATCAATTGATGAGAATGTTAGTGTGAGATGGGAACTGAAACAGTGAAATTGTACCTTAAGTGCTGCCACTCTCTATGTGCTAGATGGACATTTATAATAAAGAGAGTGAGCTACATGGCTTTTGAGTTTCCTTAACAGCTACATTAAACTTTTAATTTACCTTATACTTATTTCAATCAAGGTAGTGGTTTTCAAACCCTAAATTCCTACTAATCTCTTGTGCTTGATTATATTATAATTGCTAATTTACTTCTGCCTCCCATCTCCAAATCTAGTCCATACTAAACTCCTTTGTACTTAAGACTGAATTTCATAATTTGAACAGTTACCTAGAAATTTTAGCTTTTCACTATATAGTATATAGCTTAAAAGAAATTTATTTTTGAATCTTAATAGTTCTTAAAAAAAACTATACCTATTTGTTTAGCAGCATGCAAAATATCTTTTAAGTCTTCATTTATACTTTGCATTTTACTCTTCTCCAGTCTTTCATTCAAAAATTTTACTATCTTCTTCCACGTCAGGCCCCAATCTAAAACCTGTTCATGAAGTTTGGCTCTCTTCACCTGAAAGACACAGCATAATATACACAAGTAATGGTTAAAGTTTTTCTCAACCATCAGGGGCCACATATATTTTGCAATACATAATACGACTTGACACTACCCACAAATATTCAAACTTCTAACTATTCACATCCAAACTGATGCCTTCAGAAGGAACTTATTTAAAAGTAACTTCATAGAATCTCATTTATGTTTAATAAAACCATTTTTACATTTCAATTATTATATATTCATTATAAAATCATTTTCATAAAGCATAGTGAAAAGTTCAACATCTGTAAGAGAGTAAGAAATGTACACATCCCACATCTTTTCATTTTCTAACTGCTTATTTTGAACACAGTTTAGATAACAGTCTAGATAAATAAGAGCTTTGTGTTATGTTTTTTGATGAAAGGGATTTAAAGAAAATCAGATTCTCATGAAACATTCAATATTTCAAGTCAGCACTCTCTCATAAATATGATCCTAGAACAGGTTAAGCATTTGTGAGATTTTTTTTCTGCACATACTCTTTTCTTGACACTATTAAGAAAATACATTCACTCTCAGGAACTAACCACAGAAAACAATAAAAACTGCATGCCACTGGTTTTGATCCACGGATAAAAATTATGAAGCCTTCAAACCAAATGAAAAAGTAGTAGGTCAAATAGAAACTATAATTTTACTCTTAGTAAGTACTGCTGATATTGCAGAATTCTTCATTACTTTTCTGTCCCAGTTTTCTAATTTAGAATGGGGATAGTCAATCTCAGAGAGGCAGATTTGGGCATTTTAGGTGGGGAGAGGCCTAGACAAAGGTAAATATGAAATGATACTGGTTACAAAATGAATTAAATTGTTATAATGCAGCCCTGGGTACCAAAGGTTCAACCTAGTTTTCTATTTGTTTATATTGCGCATTTTCCAAGATAAAAAGTTATATTAATATGCAGTTAACTATATAAGTATATACCATTTTCCTTCCTCAGAAAAAAGTTTTTGAGGGCCTACGCAAGGCACCTGCATTATGATGTAGCAGGTTCAGCTTGTGACACCAGTATCCCATATCAGAGTACCAGTTCAAATCCTGAGTCCTGGCTATTTCACTTCTGATGTTGCTTCCTGCTAATGTGCCCAGGGAGGCAGCAGGTGATGGCTCAAGTATCTGAACCCTGCCAGCCATGTGGAGGCTCAGATGGAGTTCCTGGATCCTGGCTTCAGCCTTGCCCAGCCTTAGCAGTTGTGGCTACTGGGAGAGTGAACTGGGAAAGATACATCTCTCAGTCTCTTCTCTCTCTCTCTTGCTCTCGCCAGTGCTCTCTCCCTCTTCCACTCCCCCTCTCTGTCATTCTGTCTTTCAAATAAGGAAATAAGTCAATAAGTCTTCAAAAAATAAGCCTATAGGAATAAATGAATTGACATGAAATAAGCATGTACTCCTTACACACTGAATAACATACAAAGAACCCTGAGGAGGTTGAGAACAGGAAATAATACAAGTTTAAGACAGTAACATTGCAGTCAGGGTTGCGGTGCACCAAGCTAAGCTGTCACCTACAATGCCAGCATCCCATATCAGAGTACAAGCTGGAGTCCCATCTGGTCAGTTTCTGATCCAGCTCCCTGCTAAGGTATCTGGGAAAGCAAATGATGGCTAAAATACCTGGGCCTCTGCCACCCATGTGGGAGGGACCCAAACACCCAGATAGAGCTCTGGGCTCCTGGCTTTAGCCTGGACCAGCCATAGCTGTTGCAGCCATTTGGGGAGTGAACCAGAGACAGGAAAGTCTATCTACCTCCCCCCACTCCTGTTCTCCACCCTTTCAAGCAAACAAATATAATCTCTGGGAGGGGGGAGAAGTCAACAACATTAATTAATTATACAAAATGTTTTCTATATTAATTGCTGTGAAAAATTTAACTTTCCAATGTAAAGAAGATGAAACTGTTTCGTGTCTAATAAAATTCTGTATCAATAGAGAAAAAACTATCTAAAGACTGCTACAAATCTTCCCCTTATAATCAATCTTTAAGTGAAGCTATTAATTGTTAAAACTGCCTGAGGACTTCTAGCAGTAAAATTTCAACTTACTAGGAAATGATGTTATTATTCTACAACAGAGTCAAGTAAGAGTCAGAAATTAAGTGAATGTTGTTTGGTTAGTTTTTTTAAAGGCAGCATAGGGCCAATGTCTTTATAAACTATACGGTGTTTGTTTCTTCATATAGTTCATTAAGCTTCAAGTCAAAGTTCAAAACAGTATGGCTAAGTTTCTAAAACATTTATCCTTTTCTGGTGAAAGGCCAACCATCCTTGATCTGGCACTGTGGTACAGCCAGTTAAGCTGTCACCCTCAACATCAGTGTCTCGTATCAGAGTCCCAGCTGCTTTGCTTCCGGATGCACTGCTTCCTATCCAGCTCCCTGCTAATGCACCTGGGAAAGCAGCAGAAGATGGCCCAGGTATCTGGACAACTGCCACCCATGTGGGAGACCTAGAAGTTCCAAGCTGCTGGCCTTGGGCCTGGCCTAATTCTGGCTTTTATGCTCATTTGGAGAATGAACCACATTTGGAAGTTATCTCTTTTTCTCATTCTCTCTCACTCTCACACTGACTCTGCATTTCAAATAAATAAATCTTTAAAAATAATTCATATATTGAAACTCTAAGCCCCAGTATCTCAGAATGTGACTGCATTTGAGATAGGGCCTTCAGAGGGAGTGACTGAGTTAAAATAAGCTGATTGGGTGTGGGTTTTAATCCTAATTGGTGTCTTCACATGACAAAATTTTGGACATACCAAGAGATGTACTTATATAGAGGAAAGACTATGTAAGGACATAGCAAGAAGGCTGCCATCTGTAAAACAAGGAGAGAAGTAGCCTCAGAAGTTGTCAAACCTGTCAAGACTTTGAACTTGGACTTCTAGCTCCAGAACTCTGAGAAAACAAATTTCTGTTGTTTAAGCATCCAATTTGTGGTATTTTATGTTATTTTTTGCAAACTAATACACCACAAGTCAAGGACATTCTTAAGAGTATCTCCTCTAAATATTTTATTTATAATTACATATTAAGAATTTCCTACAAGTCTCTATCTCATATGTTTTCTATAATAATAATAATTAAATCTGTAACTATATATTTATTTTATTCCTTTATAAGACTTAAGGAATTCTTTGTCAAACCATATACCTGATTTGTGGTTCAGAAAATGAATCTAGGTAGAAAAGAGATTGCAGTATTTCCTTCAGCAATAAAAAAAAGTGATACCCCAAAGTAATAGTTATTTTGCTCTGGTGGAATTTAACTATATTTACAAGAAGCATAATAATATTACTTCTTATAAAACTGACTCATGTGTGAATACCTGTCTACATCATGATTACTATTAAAGCAGGATGAGTCATTACGATAAACATAAAAACAGTGTCTGCAGTCCATGGAGATGTTTGTTTCTTAATAAAATTAACTGCTGAATTTCTAGTCATACAGTAACTTTAAGAACAACAGTTTTTCAAGCCTTAATGTCTCTCCCACCATATACACTTAAGAGATCAACTACTGTGTTCAAGAGATTAGTATCTGCAGTTTCCATGTTTAGGATTAAATCCATGAGGATTTAAAAACATATGTGGTTCAGAGGTTAAATTACTAAATTAAATAACAAAGTTAACTGTGGCAGGGTCCTTAACAACAGAAAAACATTAACAGAACATTTATCTTTTTCTTAATTTCCTTTGACATTAGTTATAGTTGCTTAATAAAGGTACTCCAAGAGGAAATATCAGTATACACATCAGCATACACACCAAACAAGAATAAACTTCCATTTTAAGCACACAGAATAGAGAAATTTCAAATATTTTCCCACTCTATATTGCTAATGGTTTCCATCTAAAAATTCTACCTTTAAGTCAGCCACTTCTTCATTATAATTATCTTGCTTGGTGACATTTGAAAAGGAGCGCAAGGCTCCTGTGAGACGAGGTAAGGCCATCTATTATTCAATCAGTGATCCACAATGAGAAACCTGAAATGGAAACAAAACAAGATGATATTTATCTGTTCAGAAAAGGGAGAAGTAATTAAACTTAACATATTGACCTATGCAAGAAAAAAAAGAAAAACCAAGTAGTCAAAAAAAGCAATCCCTACCAATGCTGAAAGCTCTCCTGATATAACACATTGGCTATGGCTGGAGAAAGGAAAAAAGGAATAAACAAAAACACACTTGTTACTGGGGTCTATTAGAATATCCCCTCAAAATGAGTTCTACAGATTCCCAGGTACAGGCCTCATATGCTGTTATCACTGTTAATACTATCAAGAAATGAAGTTTCTTCAGTTTTGTTTGATGCTCACAGATCTCTAATCACACAATTGTCCTGTGGTTCCCTCTATTTGGAATACTCTTCTCCCTTGATTCTGATTCATCTGGCTTTTTGACTTAAAAAGATCTTGGTCAAAAAGAGAACCTCCTGAGATAGCACCTTTCCTGAACACCCAATATAAAAACAGTCATTGTTAAAGCACATCACGAATTAATATTTCACATTTTCTTACTTATTTAATAACAGTTTTTATCAACAAAAATTAAGCTTGTGATAGAAAGACCATTTAAAAAATTATTTATTTGAAAGAGTTACAGAGACAGAAGAGGGAGAGACAGAAGAAATCTTCCATTTGCTGGTTCACTCCCCAGATGGCTAGAAGGACGGAAGCTGGGCCAGGCTACAGCCAGAAACCATGAGCTTCTTTTGGGTCTCTCACATGGGTGGCATGGGCTCTAGCACTTGGGCCATCCTTGCTGCTCTTCCCAGGCCATTAGCAGGGAGCTGGATTGGAAATGGCGCAGAACATGGGATGCCAGTGTTGCAGCAATGACTATACCTGCTATGTGACAATGTCAGCCCCAAAGACCATTATTTCAATGATATCCCCTAACAAATAGAACAGCATTGGAGCATTTTTAGTATTTTGGCTAAATAAATTAAAGGAAAAAAAATGGAGAAAAGGAGATAATAGTAACAAGGTCCTAAAGAACAGCAGAGAAAAGAATTAAAGCAGCTGAAAAAGAAGAAAATTCCCAGGGAAAGAGAGAAGTCAAGAGACCTGGTGTACAGGCTTGTTAACATTCTGAGACCTGGGGCCAGCATTGTGGCATACTGGCTAAGCTGCCGCATGCAATGCTGGAATCTCATATAAGCACCAGCTTGAGTTCTGGCTGCTCCACTTCTGCTCCAGGTTCTTGCTAATGTGCCTGGGAAAGCTGTGGAAGATGGCCCAGGTCCTTGGGCTCCTGCATCCATGGGGGAGACTTGGAAGAGGCTCCTGGCTTCAGCCTAGTTCCACCCTGACCATTGTGGACTTTTGGGGGAGTGAACCAACAGATTAATCTTTCTCTCTCTCTCTCCCTAACTCTTTCAAATAAATACATCTTTAAAACAAAAAAGTATCTCTCCTGATTCACTGACAAAAACAAACAACAACAACAAAATTCTGAGACCTATACAACTAACCTCTATGTAAATAGTCCAGCAGGAAGTTGGACTCAGTAGCACAGCAAGGATATGAGTCCAGGCACTTTGATAGGTGTCCCAACTGGCAGCCTAACTGTTCTATCAAATGCCCATCCATGAATAAAAGGGTTTTTTGTTTGTTTCTTTACATACTGAAGTGGCAGAGAGCGAGAGCGAGCTCTCATTTTCTGGTTCACTCCCCAGGTGCCCACAGTGACTGAGAGTAGGCTGGGCCAAAGCCACGAGCTAAGGACTTAATGTAGGTCTCTCATATGACCATCACTTCTGCCTCTCAGGGTCCACGTTAACAGGAATCTGGAGTCGAGCCAGAGTTGGGTATCGAACCCACATATTCCGAATGTGGGATGTGAGTGTCTTATCTGCTAATCTAAATGCATGCCCCTGAGGTCTCTGAACTTTTACTTTGATGTTAGACTTACCACTTTGCCCTGGCAGTCTAATTGTTTTAGTATATTTTGAGACTATTTTATCAGTGCTTGCAAATTCAGAACTTCAGAGCTATATTCTTCATTAATATGCAGAGAAGTTTGTTTTTAAATCCCTAATACCTTTTGTTTTGAAGTCTATTTTATTTGATATACTGAATATAGCCAACAGTTATTTTTGTTTATTATTTGCAGAAAGATTTTATTCTATCCTTTAATTCTGAACCTTTCCCTGTCCTATTTCTGATGTAGTACTGTTGTTTTGTTTTGCTGTTTAGCAATTTGATGTCTTTTGGGTGGGAAATTTAATTTAAAATACATTTGGACTTGTTTCTATTTGTCCTGCTTAATCTGTACTGTATTTGTGACAACATACAGAGTTATTTTTTTGGATCTCTCTTCTAGGGCACCATTTTTCTCTTTATCTGTGTCTAACCTATTGCTTAACTCATCCATTGTTTTTAAGTTTAACGGGCATATTTTTATTTCTAAAAGTTACGTTTTCAAAACTGTCGTCTGTTTTATTTTACTATTACTTTAAATCCTATTTTGTTGAACTTTTTGTTTTTAACATTTATTTACTTGAAAGGTAGAGTTACAGAGAGGGAGAGGTAGAGAGAGAGAGAAACAGAGAGAGAGAGAGAGAGAACGAGAATCTTCAATCACCTGATTCACTCCCCAAATGACGACAGTGGAGAGGGGCCAGAGCTAGGTATCAAAATCAAGCACTCTGACACAGGAGGTGTGCATCGAAACCAGCACTGGACCAAATGTCCACCCTTTCTTTTATTCTTAAATCATAATTTAATTTTGTCTCAATAGCAGTCAACAAATAAATCAATCTGTTAAGAAATCAATGACCTGAGTTTAGATGCACAGTATGGCTCCTACCAACCTTTCTCAACTGGGGTCTATGAGACAATTAAATATTGCTGCATGAGAGCTGAGTGACTTTTTTTTCAATTCTTCCAATGACTGTATGTAGTTAGTATCACCCATAGAGAACCAAGACATGTAATGGATGTCTTAGGGAATTATGGATGCCTAAGCCACACTGAGAGGCTACAAAGATGCATTCTATTCATAACAACTGAAGTCAGAAGTCTTTAAAGAAAGGTCCTGCTACTAAACTGAACATATTCTGTCTCAGAACTTACCTATTACCACACAAGTTAGCGCTCTGAAAATACACAATCAGAACGAGGGACCTACAATAAATGGAATATCCTGCCTCAGGCACGGTTGGTCTTACAAATCAAAGAGGTTCCTGGAAACACTACTTCCCTCATCTTGACATATCTCACAGTAACAGCATTAATCTCCTTTTACTGAAAAGGGGCAGGAAGAATTCATTAATTTACATGCTAATTCATATATCTAGCAAATCCTAAGATAACCATCGCATTCAATCCCTAAAAGCATTCTAATCATAGGACCTGGTAATGAAGTCATACCATGAAGTAATTCATATCATTTCAATCATGAAATAAAATTTGAAATTTAAGCAGAGTCCTGACAACACATCTCAAATTAAGCACTTTTCAATTTGATAATCTGAGATGTTAAAAAGAAAAAGTTGCTATAGGAAAATTATAGACAGAATGAAATAAGGGAAAACTAGCAGAGGGTGAATTTGAAAGATACACATATTTAGGAGATGTAATATGCAGGACTCAAATTTTTAGTTTATGAAGAGTGGAACTTACAAATTTAGAGGGCATTCAGAAAAAGGGGAAATGATTAATTGTTTTATAAAGTTTTGATTATTGGCCCCAGTTTTGGGTTTCCTTTCAGAGGTAGAGATGGAAATAAAGCATTTATGGCTACCACTTCACTCAAGTTAAAACCATGGATGGACACAAACTCCAAAAGTCCAAGTTATATAAACCCATCCACTGCCTTGCAAAGAAAACAGGCATACATAAACAGAGACAACATTTTGTATTCCATTTCAAAGGCTGCACGAATACCCTGAAATCCACTCATGTAACCCCACCCCTAAAAATCTCACAAGAGTAGACAGTAGAAGCCAAGAACAAAGTCTTAAAGAAAGAGAAGCAACGGAAGTGTCCTATAGAAAGAGTGACATCACACAAGAAAAGGCAATTTTCAGGATACTATGTAACAGAGCCCACTGTATTTGATCACTCTCAGGTCCTAAAATGACTATTGCACAAGGAATTTTGAAAGAATAATGGAACAGGGGCTGGCACTATGGTGCAGTGGGTTAGCGCCCTTGCCTGAGGCACCGGAGTCCCATATGGGTGCAAGTTCGAGGCCCGGTTGCTCCACTTCCGATCCAGCTCTCTGTCATGGCCTGGAAGAGCAGTGGAAGATGGCCCAAGTCCTTGGGCCCCTGCACCTACGTGGGAGACCTGGAGGAAGCTCCTGGCTGCGGATCAGCGCAGCTCTGGCCGTTGCAGCTAACTGGGGAGTGAACCATCGAATGGAGGACCTCTCTCTCTCTCTGCCTCTCCTCTCTCTGTGTAACTCTTTCAAATAAATAAATAAATATTTTAAAAAAAAGAATAATGGAACAAATTTTGGTGGGTGGAAGGATGAAAGCAAAGGAAAAAAAATCGTGAATGCTCTTTTTCCAAGGAACCTGGCTGAGAAGAAAAAGAGAAAAAGCAGGATATATTGAAATATATGGAGTTAAGAGTTTATGCATAGGATAGAGTTGAGCACATTTCTATAATCAGGAGAGTATAGCAGAAAAGCAGAAAAAAGATGGAATACTCAGAGAATATAACAAAAGATGGGGACAAACACATATGAAGGTCCAGAAATTAAGCTTTAGTGGAAAAGAGCACAAGGAGGGAAAGATGAGTAGAAGTTCCGGTATGTTTGTAACTTGGTTAAGCAGTGGGTGATTGGGGAGAGAAAAATAGGGTGAAAGCAGTTTAGCCAGAATGACTCCAATTTTCTTTGAGGTAAGTTGAGATTGTTCAAAAAGATGGCATTTTTAAATACAGAGGCAAATTTTAACTTTGTTACCAATAGTAAGAGAGGAAACTGGTGAACAAACCATAAAAGGGTTTTTAAGTAGCAATGAATTCTCAGCT